TTCCCCTCAGGGGACCCCGCCTCCCCCAGAGCTGCCCCTGGTGCCGGTGCCTGGAACCGCCCCGCCCGGCCGCCCCTCACTCACCGGGGGGAACTTCTTCCTCTGGACGTACTCAGCGATGGCGGGGTCAAAGTCCTTGGCGTAGCCTTCGTTAAGGCTGTAGATGTTGCCCTTCTTTTTGATCTTCACATCCTTGTCCACCAGAATGAACTCTCCGATGGCCTTGAGAGACACAGAGGGCAGGTAAGGCGACGACGAGCAAATGCCTGGCGAGGCACGAATCGGCAGCCATCAGCGATTCCCGGAACTTTGCTCCGGTTCCGCCGCTATTTCCCCTGGAGCCACCGCGGGTGGGGACTTTAACTGGTGCCGTTACCGTTCCCTTGTGTATTTGTTAAGTGCCCACGCTCCCGAGGAGGTGAAAGCCGGCTCTGGGAGAGTGCGTGCGACAAAGGTCGCCGTGCTGACGCGCCTGCGCACACGCGCCGAGCGCAGCCCCACAGAGCGTCGGCTGCGTGCCGCTCTCGCCGCCAGCCGCGACCGCCCTGTGCCTACGGGGCCTCGCTAGGGCCACGTGAGGACGGGGCTCAAACTTTCAACATTTGTAAATCCAATTCATTTCCCCTTGGGAACCTGGACCACGCACGTAAAGAATGTGCCAGCGTGTTGAAGATTATTCTTTGGAGTCTGTTTCAGTGGTGGGTTTCGTTGTGCCCAGTGTTTAATGAGATGACTTCCCTCAGTTTACCTGCTCTGTTGAAACTGTCGTCTAACTGAATACATAAATAACACAAATTAATGGTTATGTGGAAGAAATTATCCACCAATCAAAATTGTTGATGAACATTTTTCACATGAGCTCTTGTCTGTAAGGTGACTTTTCTCAACAAGGTAGACTAAGAAATTACCTTCATTTTCTTCTTTATTTTTACTTCCATTACTTCATCAAAGCCTTATCATGACTGCAGGGGTTGACGGAAGGTTTGTGTGCACGTAAACACCAAATACATTTGGGCCATTTTTGAGGAAATGATGTCATTCGGGATTCAGCTGGGACACCTGTCACCTTTTCACCTCAGGAAAACAACCTCGTGGTGAATGAGGCGGGTGGAAAGGCCAGAGGTGGATAGAGTGGGTGACAAACAGACCGTCTGCAGCCCCCATCGGGTCCCTAACCGTGTTTGCTCAGCTGACACAGTGTTTTACACATCTAGAAACACTGCATGTTTTAAAATCCAGCGTTTCCTGAACCTCTGGACACCTTGGCAAGCTGGGCCCCTCTTCCCAACAGTAACCGCTGCACTCTCAGCTCACCCAGCGACCCGCACCACCCCAGCCCGCCCGGCCCAGCCCGCTCGCTGGTTCACACGAATCGCCAGCCCTGCACTCACTGAGTAATGGCTGCACTGAGGAATTCGACTTGGAGCAAAGACTCCCTCTTCTGCTCTGGACGGATCTCACTTCTCACCTCCGCAACCTCCTCATGATGTGTGCAACGTCTCTCCACCTCCCCTCCCCACCCCGCCCCTCACCCTCATCTCTGTCCCTCCGTGGGCGTCAGTTCCCACCTCTACCTGCCCCTGCCAGCCCCGACCCCCACACGCACAACACGGTCACCCACGGCCACCAGCCGAGCACCCGCCCTGCGAGGTCTCTCACCGGGTCCAGCATGAAGCAGTTGACCCCACACTCCATGGCAAGCACCAGCATGGTGGCACTGCCATAGAGGGCATAGCCGGCCGCCACCAGGTTCCTGCCTGACTGCAGAGCGTCCTTCTCAGAAGGCTCATCAGTTGACTTCTAGAGCAAAAAAGAAACAAGACATTTTTGTTTTGTTGTGTTCTTCTTTTCTCCAGTTCAACCATTGCCAGGAGGCGTCATCAAGGTACGCTCCTAATGAAATAGGGCATCTTCCAGAGGGGCCTTCCTCCGCACAGCGGCAACATCCTGATTATATTACCACGGCAGCCTTCCTTCCCACCAGACCCCGGATGTCCTGCATCTGGGTCCTTCTTTCCAATCAGCGTCCTCCTCCAATTTGTCTAATTTGATATTCCCTCATCTCTGCACTATCGCTTCCAAAAAGGAGCATGCCTTCTTGCCAGCTCCCACCGGTTTAACCTTGTTATGGGCATCACTGTCCTCCACCTGCCGGCCGCATCTTTATTTAAACAAATTAGCGCTGGGCTGCAGGGCAGCGAGTCTGGTGAGGAAATCAATTTCATGCGCTCTTGCCAATTGCAACGCAAGCCCCGCTGAGCGGCGTGGTGGGAATCACTCACACAGCAAGGAAATTCTCAGAAATACAGCAACTCACAGCATCTCCCCAGAGTCATTACAGGGGAGGGCAGATGCCCTCCAATTTTTTGACCATGACCCATAATAAGAAACACATTTTACATCACAAACCAGTACGAATCCACATGCACACGTGCACACACACCAACAATTAACACAGTAGTACTTATACTTAGGATGTGACGTACACGCTAATCGTTCTGTTTTGTTTTGGTTTGGTTTCCATTAATAACATATCCGCCCGGGTTGTGTGATCCAGTTTGTCTAATCCCAGGGAAGGGAGCACCTTCAGGAGATGGCTCCTAATCGATGATCTCTTACCGACAACTCTCTCCTTTATTAATGCTTGATTGACTCCTTGGTTCCCAAAACAGCCCCAAACAACCTTTCAGCTTGAATGCTCTTGCTTGAATTGAACAAAAACGAAAACGGGCAGTTTCCCCCGATTTCCCTTATTCCTTCCCCATCAGGGACTCCAGCAGCTGCGAGTAGCAGGGACATCTATTCACATATCATGAAGCCGGAGCAGCAAGTCATGCCAGCAAAAATATTCCAGGTAATTACTTCCTGTGACTTTCAAAGGGGTGGCCACAGGCTGCACTAGAGTCACCTGGGATACTTACCAGAAATGCATGTTCTGGGGCTGCAGCCCAGACTCACTACGTCACCATGCACCGCTGCTGACTCCTGCACTAAAGGTTAAGAGCTACTCAAGTAGAAAAATCACAAAACCCACTTCTCTCCTTCCCCACTCCTCACCCCTTCTCTTCATGGTTTTCATCTGGGAGGTTGACTGGTTACCTGGTTGGGTTGGGTTCAGTCATTGGATTCAGTTTGGTTCATATTCATCAGATAGTGCAGTGCAACTATACACTGGACCAAAGTTTTGAGTTTTCCCTAATCCCAAATTTTGCCAATGCACAATCTTGAAAAAAAAGGAAACGAATGGCCTTTGTCAATAGGCACCACCTGTCCGAGTGTCATTTTAGCGATCACCAGCTTCCCTAGAAGCCAGGAATACAGTGTGAGGACTCGGGCCTCTAACTGTCCTCTCACCAGACCTCAGGCTCCAAATAACCAGCTCTCCACCAAGAAAAGTCCCCCAGAGACTCACAGCCATCTGTGCCTGCCTGTGCAGAAGGTGCAAAAGGAAACAGCCTTTCCCTGAAATGCGTAGCCAAATGCTCTTACACTCACACTTTCTTGCATGGAATAGGCAGTAACGCTTGTCTACAACCCACATACTCAGGGGAAAGAGAAAATAATTCCAATGAGTCCTTGATTTGGAGGATTCTTTTTTTTTTTTTTTGAGACAGAGTCTCACTTGTTGCCCAGGCTAGAGTGAGTGGTGTGGCGTCAGCCTCGCTCACAGCAACCTCAAACTCCTGGGCTCAAGC